GCATTGTAAAGGGTGGATAGGAACGTGGGTTGGAACCAAAGTTACATCAACCGTAATTTCATCAAACAGCAGCCTTGAGGGCCTGTGCCTAATCCTTATGTTTATATGTTGCCTCCTCCACTTGAATGGCATCTGCATTGTGGAGCCAGGGCCAGCATTCCCCTTGACCTAACACTGTTTGTATCCTGTATCCACTTGCAGTGACCTCAACCAAAGCAGCTTAAAACCCAACCCAATAAGAAGGAAGTATATGCCAGGTACAGACAGCAGAAATTGAGGGATTCCCTAGGAGAGTATAAAGGCAGTAGGAATATACTTAAGAGGGAAATCAGGAGGGCAAAAAAAGGGGACATGAGGTAGCTTTGGCAAATAGGGTTAAAGAGAATCCAAAGGGATTTACAAATACATTAAGGATAAAAGGGCAATTAGGGACAGAACAGGTCCCCTTAAAGATCAGCTAGGCTGCCTAGGTGTGGTACCGCAGGAGATGGGGGAGATACTAAACGAGTATTTTGTATCAGTGGAGAAGGATATGGAAGGTAGAGAACATGGGGAAATAAATAGCAACACCTTGAAAAATGGTGAGGAGGTGACGCTGGATGGCTTAAAATGCAGGATCTGATCAGATGTACCTTAGAACTCTATGGGAAGCTATGGAAGTGTTTGCTGGGCCCCTTGCTGAGATATTTGTATCATCAATGGCCCTAGGTGAGGTGCTGGAAGACTGCAGATTGGTTAACGTAGTGCTACTATTTAAGAAAGGTGGTAAAGAAAAGTCAGGGAGCTATAGACCGGTGAGCCTGACATCGGTGTGGGCAAGTTGTTAGAGGGAATCCTGAGGAACAGGATTTACATGTATCTGGAAAGGCTAGGACTGATTAGAGATAGTCAACATGGCTTTGTGTGGGAAATCATGTCTCACTAACTTGATTGAAATTTCTGAAGAAGTAATGAAGAGGATTGATGAGGGCAGAGCGGCAAATGTGATCTATTTGGACTTTAGTAAGGTTTTCGACAAGGTTCCTCATGGTAGACTGGTTAGCAAGGTTAGATCACACGGAATAGAGGGAGAACTAGCCATTTGGATACAGAACTGGCTGGAATATAGATAACAGAAGATGGTGGTGGAGGGTTGCTTTTCAGATTGGCCTGGCCTATGACCAGCGGTGTACTACAATGATCAGTGCTGTGTCCACTGCTTTTTGTCATTTATATAAATGGATTTGGATGTGAATGTGGGAGGTATGGTTAGTAAGTTTGCAAATTACACCAAAATAGGTGGTGTAGTGGAGAGCAAAGAAGTTTACCCCAAAGTAAAACAGGATCTTGGTCAGACAGGCCAACGGGCCAAGGAGTGGCAGATGGTGTTTAATTTAGATAAATGTGAGGTGTTGCATTTTGGGAAAGTAAACCAGGGCAGGGCTTACACACTTAATGGTCCTGGGGAGTGTTGCTGAACAAAGAGACCTTGTAGTGCAGGTTCACAGTTCCTTGAAATTGGAGTCACAGGTAGACAGGATAGTGAAGAAGGTGTTTGGTACGCTTGCATTTATTGGTCAGTGCATTGAGTATAGGAGTTGGGAGGGCATGTAGCGGCTGTACATAACATTGGTTAGGCCACTTTTGGAATACTGCGTGCAATTCTGGCCTTCCTGCTAGAAGAAGGATGTTGTGAAACTTGAAAGGGTTCAGAAGAGATTTACAAGGATGTTGCCAGGGTTGGAGGGTTTGAGCTGCAGGGAGAGGCTGAACAGACTGGGGCTATATTCCCCTCGAGCAGAGGCTGAGAGGTGACGTTATAGAGGTTTATAAAATCATGAGGGGCATGGATTGGGTAAATAGACAAGGTCTTTTCCCCCAGGCGTGGGAGTCCAAAACTAGAGGGCATAGGTTTAAGGTGAGAGGGGCAAGATTTAAAAGCGATCTAAGGGGGCACTTTTTTTCACACAGAGGGTGGTGCGTGTATGGAATGAGCTGCCAGAGGAAGTGGTGGAGGCTCGTACAATTGCAACATTTAATAGGTATCTGGATGGGGATATAAATAGGAAGGTTCACAGGGATATGGGCCAAATTGTGGCAAATGGGACTAGATTTATTCAGATATCTGCTTGGCATGGACGAGTTGGACTTCTATGCTGTATATCTCTAAGATTCTATGACTCAATTCTAGAAATCTGACTGCTCATCCCAAACCCTCCCACTTGCTCTGCACTGTTATCGTGCAGTTGGTTAGAAATTCTCACAAGGGCGGCATGTGGCTCAGTACTGCTGCCTCATAGCGCCAGTGACCCGGGTTCAATTCCATCCTCGGGCGACTGTGTGTGCGGAATTTGCACGTTCTCCCCATGTCTGTGTGGGTTTCCTCCGGGTGCTCCAAAGATGTGCAGGCTAGGTGGATTGGCCATGCCAGATTGCCCCACAGTGTTTGGGGATGTGTAGATTAGGGGATAGGTCTGGATGGGATGCTCTGAGGGTCGGTGCAGACTTGTTGGGCCAAACGGCCTGTTTCCACACTGTAGGGGATCCTAAGGTTCTGCAAAAATGCAAGAGTTTTCTGAAGAGGTCACACACATCTCAAGTCGATACTGATTCTCTCTCCTCTGATGCTACTATACGTTGCCAAGTATTTCCAGCACATCTCTTTTTTTAATATTTTTAGTACCCAGCGTATTTTGCTTTTGTTCAAGTTAAGTGACCTAGTCCGGGCCCCTACACTCTCTGTAAACTCAGGAACGTAATTAGTATACAGTTTAAGCTACAGATGTATCCCATTCAAATAAACATGTAAAGGTTAAATAGCTCTCTCTGCTGCAGCATTTTGCTTCTGTCTCTCCATTTGGCCATAAGTTTGGAGAAGTAGAATTTGCTTTATTGTCACATGTACTCACACAAGTATATTGAAAAGTTAACAAGTTGCCACTTATCATGTCATCTAGGTACCTAGGTACAGATTCTCAAGTACAAATTCTTAGAGAAACAAACAGAAAAATAAGCAACTAGGAAAGAGATTTTAAAAGTCCAGCAATAAATTAGAGAAATAATGTGTAAAAAAATAAATTTTCCCCTCCTGTCTTTTTTAAATCTCTCTCCGCTCATGTTAAAAATGTGCCCCCAGTCTTGAAAATCCCCATTCAGTCTGCTTTTCCATTCAATGAGATCATGGCTGACTTGATAGCCCTCAATAGAAGCAGAAATTATTGGAGAAACTCAGCAGATCTGGCAGCATCCATGGAGAGAGTAAAAGAGTTAACATTTCTGAAGAAGGGTCACCAGACTCTCTCACAGAGGGAAACAAGCTCAATGTGGACTCGGACTCCCAGCCTCAAGGTGAAGCCCAGAATAGTCTGGGTTAGAAGAGCAAAGGCTTCTTGATCAAATGGGTCAATGGGCTGTAAAATAGCCGATAGCATTCAATCTGAATAAATGAGAGGTATTGCATTTTGGTACAATAAACAAGGTATGGCTTATACAATTAATGGTAGGGCCTTGAGTAGTGTTGTAGAACAGAGGCACCTAGGAGTTCAGGTACATAATTGTTTGAAGTTTGTTTCATGTATAGACAGGGTGATTAAAAAGGCATTTGGCACGCTTGACTTCATTGCTCAATCCTTTGAGTGTAGCAGTTGCGGTTGTACAGGACGTTGGTGAGGCCTCTTCTGGCCTACTGTGTTCAGTTCTGGTTGCCCAGTTATAGGAAAAATATTATTAAGCCTGGAAACAATTTACCAGCATGTTGCCGGGTATGGAAGCTTTGGGTTATAAAGAAAGACTGGATACGCTGGGACCTTTTTTCACTGGAGCGTAGAAGGTTGAGAGTCGACATTATAGAAGTTTATAAAACAATGAGTGGTATAGATAGACTCAATGGCAGTTGTCTTTTCCCTAGGATGGGGAATTTCAAGACAGCGGGCACATTTTTATGAGCGAGGAGAGAGACTTAAAAAAAGACAGGAGGGGGAAATTTCTTTTTTAACATATTATTTCTATTTTTTTTCTAATGTATTGCTGGACTTTTTCAGTTGCTTGTTTTTCTGTTTGTTTCTCTAAGAATTTGTACTTAAGAACCTGTACCTGGGTACTTAGTTGGCATGGTAAGTGGCAACTTGTAATTTTTTCAATGTACTCATGTGAGTACATATGATAATAAAGCTAATTCTAATCTCTCCACATTCATCCTCATCAAATCCTCTACGAATCTTATATGTTTCAAAAACATCTCTTCTAAACTCCAATGAGTACAGGCCCGATCTACACAATCTCTCCTCATAAGACAGCTTCTCCATACCTAGTGTCAGCAAATTGAACCTTCTCTGGATTGCCTCCAATGCCAATATATCTTTCCTTAGATAAGGAGAGCAACTGTACACAGTACTGCAGCTGCGGTCTGCCCAATGCCTTCAGTTTACGGGAACAATTAAACTGTAAATCAATAACTACGTGTACTATCGCTTGTATCTGCCTGCATTGCAAGAGATGCCGGTTGATTTAAATTCCTAAATCAGACCAGATAATGTTTAAAAACAGCAGAAGCAGCCGGTCATATTCTGATTCTGAAAACAAAAAATTGAAACTTTACACAGGAAAAACTTCACATTCCGTTTTACTTTCTTTCTTCTTCGTTGCTGCCAGACGGGTCAGGTTTTCCCCCAGTATTTTCTGTTTGTCTCGTGCTAACAAGTGTCACTTGTCTCCCCTTTTCTCCCTCAGACATCGGTGATTTCTCCAGTTTCAGTCAACAACTGCCTGAATTTATGTAACAAGGTGTAGAGCTGGATGAACACAGCTCTTCTTGGAAGAAGGGTCCAGACCTGAAATGTCAGCCTTCCTGCTCCTCTGATACTGCTTGGCCTGCTGTGTTCATCCAGCTCTACACCTTGTTATCTCAGATTCTCCAGCATCTGCAGTTCCTGCTATCTCTGAATTTATGAAGCTCCCTTTAACCCGATCACGTGCCTCGCCGAAGCGGGCAGAGGAAATTTTATGGCAATTCACAAACTCACCCGATCCTCCCGGAGCTTGCAGAGTGTCCCTGTTTGTGGTTATTGAATTCTCCGATCCAGGTGATCACTGAAGGAGCAGAGGCTGGAGTTTGTCTCCCTCGGTCTACGGGAATTGGTCGGAGACGGTTTTAACACTGTTCACAGATAGCAGGAACTGCAGATGCTGGAGAATCCGAGCTGCTTGGCCTGCTGTGTTCAACCAGCTCTGCACCTTGTTGTCTCTTAACAACTGTTCAGATCCGCTTTCAAACTGACTGGACTACAGGAGGAGGAGGGTTAGCAGAGTGCCGGGTTTCCCAGGGGACCAGGGGAAATTCAGGCTAGCACGACCGCAGTTTCCAAACCGCTGCTCACCATGAACTGCAATAAACCCAGAGTGGGAGGAAGTTACAAAGCAATCGGTCGATATTCTCCGCACCAATCACGTACACCTTTCCCATTCATAGGCTGAAACAACTGTTTGGTGCTCGGTTTAAATAAAAATGTAAATAACAGAGTTAAACGTATTAGGAAACTAGGACCTGAAGGAAGGTGATACCAGATTCTCGTGAGATGCTACTAGACCTGCTGAGTTTCTCCTGCATTACTTTAATATTTCATATTTTAAATTGTAAACATAATAAACTGAAATTGCAAATAAACCTTTAAAGCAAATATGGTGAGGCACATCATGTACGGTATTATAATTTACTGTCCTTGCACCTCTCAGTAACACATTTGATTATGCATTCTGTGCTTCTACTGATTTTATCACTGCAGTATATTTTGTGGTAGTAGGAACTGCCGATGCTGGAGTCTGAGATAACCAGGTGTGGAGCTGGATGAATAAAGCAGGCCAGGCAGCATCAGAGGAGCAGGAAAAGCTGAAGTTTCGGGCCTAGAAACATCAGCTTTTCCTGCTCCTCTGATGTTGCCTGGCCCGCTGTGTTCACCCAGTCTATTTTGTGGGGTCAGGGTAAACACCATCGTTTGCTGCTAAGATGTAAAATCCCACCCATTTGGTCACTGAGCGATAATTCAGGAAATTTTGGATATGAGTACACCAGACCAAACAAACACGAATTTTACAAAAACAGAAACTGCTGGAGAAACTCAGCAGGTCTGGCAGCACCTGTGGAGAGAAAGCAGAGTTTTGATGAAGGGTCACTGGACTTGAAATGTTAACTCTGCTTGTTCTCTCTCCACAGATGCTGCCAGACCTGCTGAGTTTCTCCAGCAATCTGTGTTTTTGTTTGTCTCATCGTCAGCATCTTCAGTTCTTGATTTTATTTAAGAATTTTGTAATATAGTTGCACGAGAGATAACAACTTCCTTACTCAAACAGTTTCCCATGCATCACTGCCACAGTCTGTAATATCTGCAGGAAGCATTACAGCAACTCAGCGAGACACCTTCAGAGTCAGCTCCCAAACACGACATTTCTATCACCTCGAAAGGCAAGGGCAGCAGTGGCATGGTGATGGCACTGTCTACAAATTGACCTCCAAGTCAAGCACCACAGTAGGCCAGAACAACTGTAATCCAGGTGAGCATTGCTGACTGGGGCATTGAGGGTGAACTACCTTCACGACCAGTAGATGCAAAGGATGAATTGTTGGTTATTTGACTGGTTCATTAGCTCTCTCAAGGCCCGTTCGAGGTAGATGTTTGATGACGCGTAAAGATGTTTTTGTTTCATGCTGCTGACCTTGTGGTCTTTCTGCCCGCTGTTGTGCCCGGACCCTGAAACGTTCTCCGTGGGTTTCTACCTTCTTCCACCACCCCTGTCGATAGGTACTGGGGGCACAAGCCTACCATCCATGCCTCAAGGGCGTTGGAAACAAAAGGCATGCCATGATTTGGTCCAGCATAGTCCATTGGGCCCTCCTTCCCAACTCAGAGACTGTGAGCCAATGGTGAGCCCCAACTTCTTTGTCCCAACCACACCTGTGGACTTTGGAACAGCAAGTGTTAAAAGCAAGGAACAGACCAATGCAATCTTTTGTGAGGTCTGGACTGGAGGCTAATTTCCTTCATTAAAAAAGATTCTAACAGACATAGCAACCCTGGGAGGAACATTGTACGTAAACAGATAGCAGAATTAAACTATTAACAAGGTCAGTGCCTAGGAATTTGTTCAGCAAGTCTGGAAGAGATTCATGGTTGAGCAGAAGGCAGTTGCTGAATGGTAATTGAAGCCTCAGGAAGAGCTGTAGAGTCATATAGCACAAAAACAGTCCCTTCGGTCCAACCAGTCTATGCTGACCATCATCCCAAACTAAACTAGTCCCACCTGCCTGTGCTTGGCCCATATCCCTCCAAATGTTTCTCATTCATGTACTTATCCAAATGTCTTTTAAACGTTGTAACAGTACCCACACCCACCACTTTTTCAGGAAGTTCATTCCACGTGCAAATCACCTGCTGTGTAAAAAAGTCGCCCCATGTCTTTTTTAAATCTTTCTTCTCTCACCTTAAAAATATACCCCCTAGTCTTGAAGTCCCCAACCTCTAGGGAAAAGACACCTGCCAATCACTTTATCTATACCTCTCATCATTTTATAAACCTCTATAAGGTCACCCCTCAACCTCCTACGCTCCAGTGAAAAAAGTCCCAGCCTGTCCAGCCTCTCCTTATAATTCAAACCTTCCATTCCTTCCAGCAACATCCTGGTAAATCACTTCTCAACTCTTCCTGGCTTAGTAATATCTCACGTGAAGCTATGGGGTGAATTTGTATTTGCAGATACATTTTATTTTGTTCAAAAAGCACACAATTTATAGACAGTCAGTCAATGCAGCATTTTATAAATTCCTACTTTAGAAATAAAACCAGTCTGACTCCAAACCAAAACACAAACAGATTCTAAACAAGGCCTCACACCTAACATGCATTGTCTCTCCTAAAATGTTACCTCTTCTTTACACTGATAAAACCTTTAGTTCTCACAGGACAGTGACTTTAAAGGAATTTTGGGATTTACATATACATATTAGTTCATTAAAACCTTCTAACTGATTAAAGATTTAACAGCATCTTAGGTTTGTTTAATACATCTTCATCAGTGGTGTGATCCTTTGATCTTATAAATTCATTATTTGACACTACCTCTCTCTCTCTCTCTCTAACACCTGAAGAAGGAGTGAGGCTGCTAAAGCTTGTGTTTTCAATTAAACCTGTCGGACTATAACCTGGTGTCGTGTGATTTCTGACCTTATCCACGCCAGTCCAACACCAGTCTAACCCTATCGCACACCAGCACCGCCACATCATGAAAACTGTGTGCTATACATACTCGGGGCACTAAGGGGCAATACTACGAAAGAGAACAGACACAGAAATACACCATACGCAAAAGAGCAGTAGTCAGAAACACGAGTTAAATACACACGTAAATATTTAAAGGGTGCTATTTGGATGAAAATAAAATCAGTGGAATTGGAAATCTGACAAAAAAAGCGTGTTTGACTGGTTGACACTAGGACCATTGTGTATTTTTAAATAATGATTTTGAACTTGGTTGTACAAGTTCAACATTTGCATGTGACACATAACAAGTCAACCACTGCTGAGACCATGCTAAAGCTTGGGGCAGCTGTTCCCAAGGTGCAGAGGGGAAAGGCCACTGTCTGAGGTCCTTCTGCCAAAGTACAATGGGGGTCCATTCAGTTATTGGACCCTCTCAGTGCCTCCAATATATGTACCTTGCATACATGAGAATTTCTTTGGGTTTATTTGTTGGAGCTGTCAGGGAAGTCAAACTCCATTTGTTTATTCTCCATATGCAAAGACTGTACAGCACTAGTGACTATGTATGTGTATAAAGTTTTTTTTAATAAATAAAGTCTATTTTTGAAATAAAGAGATGACACAGAATATTTTCAGTTCTCCAGGCACAGTTAGTGGATTTCAGTAGAAGAGGAGACTGAATGAAGGTCAGGAATGTAGAGTGCGCTGGACAAACTCTTCATCAGATTAGTGTAAAAAGACAAAGCTAAAGGAAGGGGGAGGTGGCACTATGGTCTGTGTGACTGGGAGCTCACAGTTACATTTGTCTGTTTTAAGGAAGCGATGTAACACACTTGCCCCACACCCTAAGCCACGGGTCAGGAATTTTAGCTGTATGAATTGGAGCTCGGCTGTGGAAAGTGTGAAATATGTTCTTGAGTCACTGCCTACGGACCTGCCACCGAATACCAGGCCCGGCCTGTTTTGATGTTCTCTGGAAGAAGGTTTAGTCCTGCTCCGAAGATGGAAATTACAGAACAAGTCAGTAACTATATTCTTTGTCAACATTAGAACAACAATGTCCAGGCAGCTTCCAGCAATGAATATTTTGAAACATATCGACAGCACTCCGTTCCCAGTGAGGCTTTTAAAACCACAAATACTTCACTTCGGCCTCAGCATGCTACAACAGTCATCCAAGCTCATTCTACAAGTACAAGAACAATAATTCGTCACCGTGAAAAGATCTGAAATAAGGCTCATGCTTCAGTTGTGTAGGAACTTAGTTAGACCACATCTGGAGTACTGTGTGCAGTTTTTGTCTCTTTATCCCAGGAAAGCTATTATTGCCGTAGAGGGAGGGCAACAAAGGCTCAGCAGACTTGGTCCTGGATGGTGGTGCTGGCCAATGAACAGAGACTGGACAAACTGGGCCTATGTTCTCTGGAGTTTCGAAGAGCGAGAGATGATAACACTGAAACCTACAAAATGCACAAAGGATTGAGAATGAGAGAAATCTTTTTACTCTGACGGCTGAGAACCTTTGGAATTCTCAACCCTAAAAGGCTGTGGAAGCTGAGCCTTTGTTTAAGGTAGAAATTGATTGATTTTCAATTTTCACTGCTGTAAAGCGTTGTGGAGATAGTGTGAAAGGGTAAAAGACATTGATGTGTTATAGAGTCATAGAGCCGTGCAGCACGGAAACAGAGTCTTTGGTCCCACATGTCCATTCTCACCAGATATCCTAAATTAATCAGGTCCCATTTGCCAGCATTTGGCCCTTATCCCTCTAAACTCTTCCTGCTCATGTACCCATCCAGATCCCTTTTAAATGTTGTAATTGTACCAACCTCCACCACTTCCTCTGGCAGCTCATTCTGTACACACATCATCCTCTGCATGAAAAAGTTGCCCCTTAGGTCCCTTTTAAATCTTCCCCCTTTCACCTTAAACCTATGCCGTCTGGATCTGGACTCCCCTACCCCGGGGAAGAAACCTTGGCTATTCACCATATCCAAGCCTCTCATGACTTTATAAACCTCTATAAGGTCACCCTCAGCCTCCAACACTCCAGGGAAAACAGCCCCAGCCTATTCAGCCTCTTTATATAACCAGCATTAGAATTATGTTCAGGATGCTACATTCTCTGG